AGTAATATTAGTAAACATGGTTGACTTTTATCCACTCATCATTTATCGGTATTAATGTCACTTCATAATTTTAGTAGTATTATTAGTAGTAAATATGGTTGTCTTTTTATCTACTCAGCATTAAGAGCTATTAAATTTACCTAATATTTAAGTAGTAGTAGTTGTAAATCTCCTCACCATTTATCGCCATTAAAGTTGCTTTTAGTCGTAATAGTATTATTTAACATTGTTGGCTTTTTATCTATTCATCATTCATCTTCTATTAATGTCGCCTAATATTTTATGCACAAGACACTTTATATTATTTTTGATTGAGCCTAAATTTTCCAAACGCCTTTTGAAATGCATCTTCATTTTAATCGTATTTCTCTTCGGTTGATACATCGTTTTTTTTTGTTTTTTTTTTTTTGTTTTGTTTTTTTTGCTGCGTCCAAATGAGTTAAAATTGTCTTTGTCTGCAAATTTATTGACCAAATGTGCCATACGCCTGACAGTCACCCCACCACCTACACACACACACGGTCGCTTGCACCCTAACCCGCACCCTACATGATTCATTTTATTCACCATCCCGTGAAGGTTCTGCTCTTCTAATTTTCTAGACGAAACTCATTTTTCATTTCTGACTCAATGATTCAAAAGTAGAAATTAGTTTAAAAATTTGACATGATCTGTAGGATTTACTATTTATGTAACGGAATGGATAGAGATTCTGAAGCAAATTCGCCAAAACGTCCAGTCATTCTAAGGATTCTATAAAAAGAGACTCTCAATAATAAAAGCCTATATCAGAAGAATACAGTTACCAAAGTTTGCACAATTTATGTATAATAGATATAGCAATTATACTATTGATAACTATAGGTATTTTGATCATTTACTTTAGCTGAAGAATAGAAAGATTTGGAAAACGTTGTTTCTTCTTCGCACAAGTCTTTCAATCCTTCAGAAATGGTCTCAATTTGCAAAGAATTATTTGATCCAGTCAAGGCAATCGATGAAGGTAGTTTACACAGGTATAAATGAATAAAGATGCATTTGTAATAATGCGTCCTTTCTGAACTCAAACGATAACAGCTCTCCACAGATTTCTTTTCTTTAATATATATGAATAACCACTTCTTTGAAAATGCAGTGGAATACTTTCCCATTGCATTCTGCACGCTTTGGAATTCATCGATTCTTTTTTGTTAGGGCGGGATTGCCTCCCGCCTCCAGGCTAAGTGACCCCAATTCTAGTTGCTGTTTACCTAATAGCTTTTGGGAGAAAAGATGAATTTATGCCAAGTATATTAATGCAAAAAGTGAACGCAACAGATTAGGGCGGAATCTGAACTCGCTTCGCCAATTCCACCTTAAGCGCTGCTAACTGCTACACTACTTACACATTTTATAATTTTCCACAAGATTTTGACATGTTTCTATTAAATTTAATTTAGCAAATTTCTACACTTAGTCGGCAGATTATGTGTTGACATTCAATAAAATGGATTTAGAATGGCTGGGTGATTAGGCCGATTAAACGGGGCCTAAGCAAGAATCTCCCTTACCAGCATATAAATCTCGAAAGTTATGAAATGATTTGAATTTTCTATATGGTATTAATTTCAATAAGTTTGGTAAAAAGCGACTGACAAAACTTACATTCTTTTTTATTCTTGTTTGAGGGGAGAGCTTACAATGATATCAAAATCCCTGCTGTATATTTAGAGATTCTTGATAAAATCGAAAGAAGAGTCAACATTTATATTGGTCCTGACGTGACAACTCGCCGTAATATAGCTTTCATGTGCCTTTTCTATAAATACTTTCATGGTAATTGTTGGGAGGAACTCTTTGCTATGCTACCTAGACTTTATGAATTTAAGTACCAGATTGGCGGCAAGGTCTCATCAATTCACGGTTGAGTTGGCTAGACGTAACCGAAATTTCTATGCTAACAGTTTCTTTTCTCGCACTTCTCTCCTGTGTAACTATTTCCAGCCAACTTTGATTTCCAAAAACTTAAATGCAATGTCAAGCGTTTTCTACTGTCTTCTTGATTACTCTTCTGTTGCTCTCGCTCCTTAAAAATGTTTCACTTTTTTCATATTCTTTTACACTCAGTAGCCCCATGAATCTTAGTAGCTTTACTGCCTTGCGTGAGGTGATATTGATTACATAGATAAATAAATTAAACGCAAGAGTGTCTATATCGTTTTATCTATCAAAAATGTCTTTTTTACGCGCTGAGTCGAATGGTTTAAAAGAATTTATCTTATAATTAATTTACCTTGAAAGACTGGAACCTAGAATTTAAATTAAAATAAACCATTTACGTATTAGCATTAATTTTCGTGTAACAAAAGTATATAAATTTTCCCGATATTAATTGTAAAATACACTATTCACTTGATCACGGTTTATCATCATTGTAAAAGTTAAGGATAAAATAGCACATGACATCTATATCTTATATAAGGTACAGTGTATGTGTGTATGTTTGTGTGTCCATGCATCTCCCCCGCTCCCACTAATCCGATTTCAATGATTCATAGCTCATTCAAAAGTTTTCGTTGAGCTCAGATTCAGTGTGGCCAGATTATGCTAGGTTAAAAATATATATTAATATATTTTACTAGCCATTATCGTTGCTTTCGTGGCTCAAGGAGAGTAACTCTTATTCTCCTTTTGTATCCAAAATTGCAGTGCACGTTTTATTATAAACTAGTTTAAAAGCCGCCTTATCGTAAATAGCTCTATAGTAATTTATACGCTAGAAGCTCATTATGTATATTATATATTATCTACTTCTAGGTGATATCACTCTTCTGGTTTAAATAACTTGCACATTGATTATACAAAAGTATATTCCATTAATTAACTGTCCTTCATTAGTGTTCTTTTATTCAATGATTGTTTTGATTTTCATATCAAAAATGGTTCTGTTTAGGAATATCGTCTTATATAGTACAGAAAAGTATTTAAAATTTGCATTTTAATTGGCCTTCAGCAAGTTGGCATCAATTTGTAACACTTTCCTTAACTATAACAAGCCAATTTATGATTGTAATGCACATTTAAAATTTTTATTTTAAAGATTTCAAGTAATGAATATTTCTTACTTTGCGAAGCGATAGCGAGCGGGAGAAGCATGTTGGTTAAATTTTGAAAAATAATACCGATTTTCTTTCCGAAAATAATATTCTCGAAAAGCTGAAAGACGAACATACTAAAAAACAATGATAATGTCACACACAGATTAACTTTTCCTGAGCAAACGTAAAAAACACGACGTAAAAAAATAAGTTTTGCATAATATAGCGAAAACTACCCATCGAATAATTATTTTAATAGAGAGGCAACTTTAAACCTTTAGAGATTGTCAATTTCTAAATTCATGTGTGAAGTGGGGTTTACAGAGTTTAGATTAATTTCGTACAACGACAAAATTCTGGGCACTTGGTGAAGATCGAAATCACTATATTATCAACGCTCTATAAGGCTAGCTTGGTAACCATTGCCCTCAGTCGTCTCTGAGTATATCAGTTGTGTACAAAATGTACTTAGAAGCTACATTTTGAATTCTGAAATGAACCCGAGTCTGGTTCTGATTTTGATGAATGCTAGTGTCAGTCGAAAAAGTCAGCTAAGTTTCTCTCAAGAATTGACTGGTGTCTTGCTGTAACCTGACGAGCGACTCTAACATTTCGAGGAGGTTGCTTGCGGGTCAAATATATCCTAAAGTTAGATTTTGGGTGATGATTAGGGGAATTTTTTTCTCGCTGATATCAAAATAAAGATTTTATGCTGGAGATATTCTGATATTGTATACTGATTATTATTTACCTATAATAGTATTATAATTATTATTACTATTATTGATATTGTTGTTGCTGTTGTTATTATTATTATTATTATTCAACCGAAAAGCAACAAGTAGAAAACAAGAAAAATAATAGTTGTGAAACGTTTTCACAACTGAATTGATAAGAGAGAGACAATATTTCGATGAGAGAAAACTATCTTCTGATTTTGAATAAAGCAAGAGAACATTCCAGTCTATCAGGATATCAAAACCACAGACAATGACTGATCGCCATTCTTCTCCTTTTCTTTCTAGACGCCTTTCTCTACTATTTTAACGAAAGTATCAATGACCTTTTCTCTTTGGTAACACGACTTCATAAAATTAACCGTAGTACTAGATTGGCAATTAGGTCTCATCATTTTACGGTTGAAATGGTTATATATAACCTTAATTTCTATTCTAATAGATTTTCCTCTCAAATTTCTCGACTGTGGAACTCTCTTCCAGCTTTTTGCTTTCCTGACAACTGTAATGTATAAAATTTTAAATACAACGTCTATCGTCAGCTTTTGCCTCCTTGAAACCTGTTCTTTTTATTGTTCTTTCTCCTCAGTAATGTTTTCTTAATTTTCTTTACGCTATTGTCCTATCTTCTCAGAAGCCACTTGCGATTTAGTGGCTTTATCGCCTTCCTTACAGCGAAATGATTAAAAATATGTTGCTTTGGTTTGTTTCTTCATTCAGTTAGAATTACGTTTGTTTTTTGTAAATGCATTTATTTTTTTAATTAGGAAATATCTGGTGACTCTTTACTAGATGTGTTATTATTATTAACGCATATTTTTGTCGTTTATGGTCACCGGTACGCATTCGAGCCTCGGGATCATCACCCTCTCTCCTGATTTCCTTTTATCCCGTCTGGTTGCGGTGACAGAGCTAGCTATGAAGTCCCAGCCAACTCCAGAAGCATCGTGAGCAGGAGTCACATAGGAGTGTGGGTGATGAACGCGGCTGGACGAGTCGGGCCTTCCTGACAGCACGTTGCAAATACTCTTCATTCTTCTGATTTTTGAACTCGAAAATCTCGATCCCCCCTCGGATGGTCCTACCCCAGGAACGCCGATTTAAATGCTTTATTATTTCCCTAAAGAAGCAATTTCACTCGTCAGTGATTCTTTTCTTAAATAATTTTCAAGGACTTCCACTTCAGGATTTAAATTTTCATCCATTTACTGATTATTATTTTTATAAAGAGAAAAAAAATACTAATTTTTTTTTTGTTTCTTTTCTCCTTTCTATTTCTTTTCTTTCCAGTTTTCTTTCTTCTTCTTCATCTATCACTTCGCTTTCCTTCTTTTTTGACCTCTTCCCTTTCTTTTTCTCTATTCCGTCCTCCTTGTTTTCCTGCCTTTCTTCTTCTTCTTCTTCTTCTTCTTCTTCTTCTTCTTGTACATCTTTTCTACTTTTTCTTCTTATCTCTGCTCTTCCTCATTTTCCTCTTCTTCGTCATGCGATTTTCCTTATTTTTTTATATTCAAAACATTTGACGCGGTGCAATTGATAATAATAATAATAATAATAATAATAAATGGATTTTCAAATGGGTGCAGAAATACAAGTAAAGCATAATGAAGCTGCAAAATGCAAGATACAGAAACAATGATGAACCGCTTCATGGCCAATACTCTGCCCGTACCAAACAAGCTTATGTAGGCAAACCCCCTACCCATCAGTGGCTATATGTATATATATATATATATATATAGAGAGAGAGAGAGAGAAAGATGTATTTCGTATATCTTGGCACATGTTTTCATTAAGACATGTCTCATTAAATAATTTAGGCAAGTTTTATCTATTTATTTTTAATAGCATCCACCTGTAACTACGACAAAAATGAATCTGCGTCAACATGGTTATTCTCTTTCTTCCTTTAATAAGGATACGAAGAAACTTGCCCGTAATTCCGAGAGGATCCTATGAAAAATAAGTAGACAAAACTTGTTTAAATCATTTAATGAGATATGACTTAATATATATATATATATATATATATATATATATATATATATATATATATATTAGAGATTAAAAAACATTTACAGATAGCGTCCGGCTTTCTCCTTATTTTGTGGCGTGTTTCTTCAGTAGGTTCGCGAACAAATCTCTCCACAGCTTCCTGTACCTTTCAGATCTAAGCAATACGTTTCCCCCTTACCCCCCTCCACTCACCCATTTGCGTGAAACCGTTCGGTAGGTTATTCGACAAAGACCAGTTTTTTTTGTTTTGTGTTTTTTTTTTCTTTTTCGTTTTGTTTTGTTTTTTCGTAAATGTTCAGTTCACTGCTTTTGTGCACCAGGTGAAAAATGTTTTAATGCTTAGAGAATTTTTTTTTATGAATTGACAATGTATTTTTACAAATCGTACAATGCAATAACTTCCGAATCATGAAACCAAGCATTTACTGGGAATAATGTTCACAGACAATGTAAATTAGAATACATTACAAAAAAAGGGAAAGTTCTATTTTGTCTGAGTTGAATGACGCTTCTGCAATCTTTCATTTACGAGGAACACTTCAGCTAGAGTACTCATGAACGTCAATGAAAACCAATTTCAACTCGCCATAGAATGCAACTACGATTGCCAGATTGACAAAGAAAACGAAAAAATATTAAGGAACTATTCCTTTTCTTTTCGGAAGAAACGAACATGTCGAAGGAAGCTGCCATCCGAGTTGGCATGAAGAATTCCCCAAGTAGAGCTTTCCTTAATCAAACAAAAGGTGTTTGAATTTGACAAAAGATAACGTTACACTCATTTTGTCTTTTTACTCAATAAGCTGACAAGGAGGAAAGTATGAAAAATGTCTTTATGAATAAATAAAATAAAAAAGACCTTACTATTTTATTTGTTTATCAATTTTAGCTGAATAAGCGTCAATAATTCGTCCGATTTCTGCCTGGGCATCATTTCAATATTTTGTTTTCTGTGAAGTTTTTTAGTTTGTGCACGATAGTTTTCAACAAAATGTTTTCTTTGTTCAACACTTTTTGGAAATGACAACGTGTATTTACATAAAATATGACTTAAATCAATTTACATGAAATGTTTCTCTTAAACATCAGAATTTCCTTAATTTCCTGTTCTGTGATTAACTACAAATTGCAAATAAATCTCCAGAATATCATGTGATATCTGATCTCGTTTGAAAATTCGGAATTCATTATCTCCCTTCGTTTATTTTCGAGAAATAACTTCTAAAGGAAGCCATTGTCTTTGAGAAGTACTTGGAGAAACTCTCAAATATAGCGTATAAAAGGATACGTTTATTTAAATCTATTTAATCTGTTTTTATTCGGTCAATCTAGCTAGGACATTCTGCCACACCAATCATCACGGCACTGCATCAAGGTCAGAAGGTCATTTGGATATCATTCTGTGTTATAACATAGTTGGTCAATGTAGATGATTGCTGAGCGGCTAAGCCGTCTTAATCCATGACTAGGTTGTCTTGAGCAGTAGATCACTCCCGAGTTCTGGTTTTGCTCAAGGCATTCTTCGTTCACATAAGATTGAAGAAATATCATGAATGGGTCTATAAAGCTGTGATTTATTTGGATGTCGTCCCAAAGAGATGTTAAGTATAGTTCTCAGCATCCGATTGTAGGTTCCATCAAGTTTAGACTTGAGTGTTTGTCCAAGTAGTGGCACTATACGTTAAAACCAACTCTGCAGGGGCGTGAAGGAATCTTCATTTGAGGTTGTCTTCTACATAAGATTTCCAGATTATTTCCATTTTATTTAAGAGCATTTATACAGCCTTTCAACCTGACGTGAATGATTTAAATTTGTTGATTTTCTGCCACTGATCTTGTTGACAGTTTTCCAAGCAAGAGCAGATTGTTTGTTGGAAGCAAGAGTTGATGAGCCAAACTTTTTCCTGGATGTATTCAGCTTGTTGACTTTCATAAGAGTTTTTGTATTGTGTAAGCGTCTCTTTGAAGTCTTTGGATAGCTTTAAGAAATGAAGTGGAATTTCTTATGCCGTTTTATTTCTTTCACATTAGCCCTTTGTGATTCAATGCTATTTGATTCTCAAGGAATTTGTTGCTGATATTTAGGTTTTAAGGGTATGATATCTGCTGCAGCCTTTTTATGAGAAGTAACAAAATTATTGTAGGTTATATTAGATGGTTGCTTGGTATCTGCTTGTAGTGTCCAAAACTTATTCCTGACAGCAATAGTGTACTGGTCTTTGAGATGACTTTGTTATTAGAAAAGAGCAGTCATATGATGGGAAGTCAGATGGTGGAAAAGACAATCTATTGGTCTAAAGATACTCTTTGAAATGTGTTGAATGCTTAGCAATACTTTGCACTGTTCTTCCACTTCTTATTTATCAGGATCTGATCCACTTGGGTGTTTATGTCATTGGTGAATGTCTATTGCTTAGAACTTTTCTTCTGAAATTTGATGGTTAGACATACAAGATTATTTGCCTCTATAAAGTATTCTAGAAAAAACACATTTCTGTTGTAGGGCACATAATATGCAAATTTGTATACGTCACTGACGCCAAACAGGAAGTTCTGGTTTGGAATTAGTCTGGCAACAGCCATTGATAGAAATATATCACATTTACTTCATCACTAGAGTTTGTTGGCAAATAGCAGGATGTGTTGGTCGTTATAGGGTTAACGTTGAAGCTAGTTATGATTACTCTGGGATCAATTTCTTCAATATTCATAAGCGCTTTATAGGCTAGTGGACTGAGTAACATGTCAACACCGCTAATTGTAGTACCTGTGGAAATTTTCCAAGCAGAGAATGAAGATCCAGTCTTTTCCAACATCGTGATCTTTGAGTTTGATATCAGGATGAAAAATAGCGGTGTTGCTGAATAGAGATGACACTGATATCCAGTTCAATGCCAAATGAAACAAATTCAGGCAAACGAATTATGGTGTTAAGTTTGCGAACATTGAAAGCGGAAATTAATGTAGATTTTTTTGTGTACGAGATGTTTTGTGTGCGGACCCAGTACCTGATTTTTCGAATACTGTGCCGAGGTCAAGGCAATAGTGGAACGCGCCCCTTTTTTACCCGTGTCACGGCCGATGCGTGATGGGTTTCTGGTATTCGCCATACTCACGTCTGTCTTTCAGTGGCTCAGTACTCATCTATGGTTCATCATTTTTATAGAGATTAGCCGTTTCAGTTTTGTTAATAGTTTTCCTGGACCATGTTCAATGACATAGGTATTATCCTCCGCGAATGTGGTGTACATAGTAATGTAAAGTCAAGTACATGGAATGTCATCTACGCCTGACCTGACTGCGATCCTGCATTCCAATGGCAGTTGATTTAAATGGCCTACTCCTGCTTTCATTAGAATTTTCTGTCTTCACTACGGCTATGGAGCCCCATCTACCCCTGACTGTGACAGTTTGTACTAGACTACAGCTGCTTACCGCTTGTCGGTAGTAGGAATCAAACAGGGTTATCTATTAAGTTGTGACTTGGGGATAAACGGACTTATACTATTAGTATCAAATTTAACCTTAATATATATAGGGATTATAAGTAGGCATGGGTTTGGGTAGGGGCAATAGGCACCTTTCACCAGACACCAAAAATAACAGAACCAGATCTGTGCAGATATTTGATGGGAAACGAACAGCACTACGACAATGACAAAATGTTACAATTTTAGACCTAGCCATCACTGCAGACACCATTATCAATGGCACAGTCCTCCTACATCATCTAGAAAATGCTGACAACAATGTTGGACTCTATATCAGTAGTGCTATGTTATGAAGTGGGATTAAATTAAGTGGGGGTTCGCTGACAATGTTAACATGGAAGTGTTAAGATGAGAGCTTACTCATAGAATTGAACTTTTTGAAGGCCCATCTAGAGTTGTGGTTGAAAAAGAAGCCAGATTATTTTATGAAAAAGATACTGAATGAAGATTTGAATTAAAAAAATGGTTTTCAAAGAAATGGCTTTTCATGAATTGGTTTAGCTTGTATGTCCAATTGGAAACGTGTGCAGTATTCTCAAAAAGAAGGTTTATATTGGTAGAGGGCGATCTATCAGTAAAGATCAAGTTTGTTATGCTATCCTGAATAAATACTGTGAAACTAATTTCTTATGAATACAACAGCTCAAAAAAAAAGAAAGATTTAGTTTCAGATCATGGAACATACATTTCATATTAATGTCGTATTTAGAATCATGGAATGTTTCTTTCTTTTACTTTTTATTCAAAACATATTTTTGTAAACTTTGTCCATGTTCTGCAATACATTTTTCTTGAAATTTCATTGACCTGGTTAAAAATATGAAACTTGGAAAATCTGGTAAAATTCATAAAACTGCTGCCATATCATAAGAATGAGATTATTTCACAAATATACTCACATTTGATGAAATATTCTTCAATTTTCTAAACATTATAAAAGATTAAAAGTGAGTAGTATTCATAATACTCGTGTTTGTCATTCAGCGGCTTAGTACTCCTCTATGGTTCACCATTCCTCTTTACTGATAGT